CTGCAATCGTGAGGGTCATTTCACACGACGGTCCTCCGTCTCGCACATTCTCGTCTGATGTGCATACATCTGGCGAGCAAGTGCAACCTTCTTGTGATACAGTCGAAGTGACGATGGATGATGGATCTGGTTGCGCACACGCGGTTTCAAGATCCATGGGTTCGGTAAGTACCAACTCTTGAATCAAAACCGATTTGAACCGAACAGAAAAGTATTTACTGCCCCACTGGTTAGACGGAAACAATCTCAATTTTGGCGTGGAAGGTTCATTCAGAGTAGCGGAATGAACTTGTCCTGCATTAGCAATAACATCAATACTGAGCGGAAGATTTGAGTTATCACGATGTTTCTCAGGAAGTCCGGCCATTGTTTGTTTCAGCATCCAATCCGTCAAACCTAGATCGAGGACAAGATTTCCCAGCATTTGCGGAATGCTGCTTCCTTCGGAAATGGTGTAATTTAATTCATATGTCGGTCCAGGATAAAGCCGGGGTTGTTCTGCCAAAATTGTCATGGAGTTACGTGGAAAAAGGCACAGAATAAAAAACGCTAAGTGAACAGTGCATGATGCCATTTAGTTCCAGATAACACATTACAAACCGCGTATCGGCTCGTAGTGTCGATTGTTTTGTGGATCGTGAGACACGTAATGCTTTTTAATCACATCAATTTCTAAGTTGCTTGTATGACGGCGATCCAAATGCATTATGTTTTGACGAAATAGGGACAACCACTTATTTGACTAACTTGGGTGCGAAGTAATATTGGGAAAAACACGATCGTATAGAAGCAATCAATCTATAAGAAATAGTACTAGTTCGTAGACAAATGGATACAGCCCTCGACTTTTGAAATTTGATTGGTTCCGAATATTAACCAATCAGAATCAGCTTTAGACCAAATACACAGAGCAGGTGACAACCAAATGTGTGCCAGCAGTTTCGGTCATTCTGACTTCCCCTATTAAAGTTTATTTCCCTTTTCGTTCTCTATGAATACTAACCGGAAATATCCTTTTTGATGAGAGGCATAATCATGTGTGAAGGATGAGTGTGAACAAAATTGGAAAAAAACGAATACGAAGGTAGAACCGACTTTTGTAATAACCACTGAGATCGCAAACTTTACTTCTACTTAGTTATTTTGTGAGTTTCATCAAATGACGAAAACAGGCACATTGCAGTCATAAAATAAATACATTGTAACTAATGACGGTAGTAGTCCGACAATCTTTGTTTGGGTATCTATGATTACTGTAAGAAATAAAATGACTATTCAAACTGCATCTGGTAAATGTATTGTCACCAATGGATGAGAAAACAACCGTAGCTTTTCGGGTGCAGAAAGGTTATTTTAATTTACCTCGGCTTGACTTGGCAAGTAACGGTGTTAGCGACGGACGAATTGGATATCTTTGGTCCTGTGGCATTTGACAAACCGATAGGAGATAGGTTTGGATTCATCTGCACTGAGTGGAATGACCTAGTGACTGTGATTCCTCTGAAGCCTTATAGTCATGTAGTGCCTGGAAGTGTGTGAACCAGCCCGGATATGATGACCAGAAATGTAGACAGAAAGCAGAGGGAGATGGTTTTGGCACGTTTTTTCAGGTGACAGGTTCTGCTAGTTGATGAAGGCTGTGAGATTGAGAATGGAACTCATTTGAATAGTACCATTGAAGCCAAGATGTCCTTTTAATCTTCTATGTCAGTAAACTGCCAAAAACGTGGGCGCAATCACTTAAACAGGCTGACATTGAGCACCGCCTTGCGAGCAAGCTTGTTGCCAACGCAACAACAACAACGATCGAACATAGGGGTTCGGATACATATTAGAGTAAAAGAGGGTCAGAAAGTTAAGTTGAATAATGCGATCAAATAACTATCTGTCTGAAAATTGCTACAAATCGCCGCTTACCTGCAATATGTTTCACTTCATGGGTGAAGGTCCTCGATAAATTTTGTTCGTTTTTTGTCGATCGAAGCACATGCAAGTACACGAGCGTCTGTTCAACTTTGTGGTTAGAGCAACCTGACTTAAGGCACAGTTATTTAATTAGTCTAGTCTTTTCGTCGTTTACGTACTTGTTTCACGAAGTCAATTAACTTATTGATCTATTTTTTGGGAGCAAATGATTTTCCGTATCCAGATTATTCATTATTTGGGCTCTGATAAAATAAGTTGATATTTTGAAGTTGGATAATTCGCAGAAGTTATATAGTATGGATAAAACCTCATGATCATTTTGAATGTAACTGACATTGTTTTTTTCGCTCTTAGGTTACTAAAAACCTTCATTTTCATAATAACATTTCAGGAGCACAACCGTTCCATTCACTCGATAATCTTGCATCCGACCAACAATTTGCACCAAATTATTCATTGTTCTGGAGCTTGATTTCATTTTATTTTATTTTATTCTAGTGCACAATACGGACCTTGAGGAAACGATTGGGAAAGCGTTGTGTTAACATTTAAGTATTCCATTACAGTCCTCAAAAACTCTTAGCGAAATAAATGAATATTGGTCAACAAACATTTTGCTAACCGTGGTGAGGACCATTTTGGTACTAGCAAATATAAAATTAAAATAAATAAAGGACGTGTACTTTAGTCGGATGAAGCGAATGCTGTCCATAACGTGGCTTATGAGGCCATCCTCCTGTCTTCTGTCCGCAAACAAGGCCAATGCCCAGCCATCCCTCCATTCACTGTTCCATAATTCGGGTTCTCCGGGGTGAAATCGTAATCATCCACTGCACTTCCGTACTAATTATGTTTGATACGTATCAAATCTTGTAGCAGTTTGCTCGTGCAGGTCTTCTCTAAACTCCTTTTATACTTGTGGCTTCTTCATTTATAGGCATGTTCGTTCCAGTGTGCAAAACACAGTTCGTTACCGGAAGGCAAATGAAAATCTGTTAGAGGATGTCAGTCAAGTATTTTGAGGAAGAGCAGCTACTTGAGAGAATATTTGGCCGCGTAAAACTTAACATTTGGTAAGGTTTCACGAACAAAAAATCCTTTGCTCTGGAAGGTCTGTAAAATGAGAACTGGTAGGCATTTATTTAGAATGAAAAAACAATTCGTCTCTGCTACACATTCACGATCCCCCGAAATCAAAGCTTCTTAGGTTGTGATAACAGTAGCTTACAGGGGTTTTCATTTCATCCATATGATGCGATTTTCAAAAAAGGCATCTTTAAGCATTGTCCCAGTTTATTTATTGCACTATTGTACGGTTTCGTTTGTTCAACAACTTGCAATATGTCTATTCGGCTGCGCCATGGCGGTCTTTGGTGGTTGTAAACAAAAAAAAATCAACAACTACGCCATTCTTTTGCTTTGTTCCACTTGCAAAAATGTGGGTAGGGCACAGGTAGAATTGTGAAACAGTTTGAGAAGTTATAACATAAAGTTTGATGCAATGAAACGGAAACGATAACAATCGGGCGATGATAGATGGCTTTAGTCATCGGGGGCCTCAAACTCCTGTCAGTTTGTGGAATAGTCAAACAATGCTCAACAACCACCGTGTATTTTTCCCTTCTGCTAGCATCTTCATGTGTTGTACACAAAACGGATTTCTTATGTTTCCAATGGTGTGACTGGCAAAGGTTCAATGCAAAATCTGATTATCTATAACAAATGATGAATTGCTTAAACTTTTGAATGAAATTGTCATTAGGAGGGAGATAGCAAACACCTGTGATGGAAACAAAGAAAAACTCTCAGCCGATCCCGAAAAGTAAATTCTACCTGTGTGAATTTGTTTAGACTCACTAATATGTTAAGCATTTTTGTAAACTTTAGTAACACACAACTAAGGGGTTAAACGCCAAACATTTGGTTATTAAAAGTATCCCACGGAGCATTGACCACAGTCCTTCAAGAAGTGCTATAGAATGGGTTATAATATCGATAAACACATACAGCCTTCTAGATTCTCAATTGGTCATAATCAACACAGGTCAGTTGTATCATACAGTTACAAATTGTGAAATACAAAAGCTGCATGAAATATTTCAGTAACAAGAATGATCGAGGTAAATCGATAGCATCGAACCATAGATCCCTAAAGGTGATCATAACAGCTGACCGAGTTAGTCAGAGAAATATTGTTACGATATCATGTGGTTGGTAAAAAGGATAGAACGGATGCACAGCGATTAAGAAGAAAAATTGCAGAAATACATGTTGTCGGTAAAACAAGTATGCAAGATGCAGAATACAATACACCTGGTGATATAAATAAGAGGCAAAAAGTGATCGGTCTAGGAACTACTTGATTGTAATGACATTAAGAAGAAATCGTGTCGTTTGCTTGCGACATCATTACCTATATTAGTTCGGGTTCAGATAGAAGACACTATAAAAACCCAAAGCGACCAGGATGAGGAAAACCTGTAACAGTGAGAACGACGACCAGCACGTTATTCTTTCAGCAAAGCAGAACCGTAGACAATTTTGTATCACTGGAAAATGCGTGATTCAGGAAGTTTAGTTTACTCACATAGTGGCCTTATGCAATGTACAATAGAATGTATGAATTGTAAGAACAGCAGTAATGAAATGCGTGAGTTTTGCCGTGGCGAGTTGGGTAATGAAACGCAATTACAAAGAGATGTGTAAAAGTAAAATGATTAGAACTGGATATGAAACAAATACGATTGAACCAAATAGAAACAAAGCCTTTTTTGTTAGATTGTTTGATCATATTTATCTATATAAGGCCATTCTGTCTGTGTCTGTGAAACTCGTGCAATAAACCTTGTGATACGGAAGTATATCTCGGTTTCAAATACCATACTTGAACATTGATGGCCATGGTAAATCAGCATTTATTCTGGAATTATTCTATCAGTTCAATTAGATCGATTCTCTGATATCAATTTTTATTCAGTTCTATCCTAATTATCCGGATATAATTTGCAGTATTTCGGGGGTTGCAACTCAAAATGAGAAAACATTCGGGTGTCCTGCAGAACGAATCTTTAATTTTTCTGATTAATGGTCACCGCTTTGTGGAGTTGTCCATTGTGTTCAATCTACCTAATGTCAAATACTTTGTGGTTTTCCATTACACGCAAACCTAATGACAATTTTGTGACGAATAAACTGAAGAAACATAACATTTTTACGTAGGCTCTTTCTCGTTATGAACAATAGAACCAACCTTGACAACCGAACCGTGGGGAGTGTCATCTCAAGCCCTGATGATGTAACCTCGGGTAGTGGTGAAAAATTTGTAAACAAATTGCCAAGCTCGACGAATAGGCGAAATGGAAAGGAGTGTCACCATTGAAGATACGTACGGTTACGTCCTCGTGCGTAAAATTAATGAAACATTCACCAGTTTTCAGTAGAAACCATGACTTAAATGCAGTTGCACTCACGGTCAGTCGATGGAAAGCCGTTACTGAACGCCGAATAAAGAAGGGCAGGCTTGTTTTCTGTCAACAAATTCGAATTGCATTGACCGTCGTTTTGCCGCCTGGTTTATCGTACTGACTA